TTTTTAATGTTACTTAGAGAGACATTTGAGCCACAACCTTTGGCAGCAGCACACGCTGCTAGTATCTCAGTACACTGTGCACCATTTGGTTCAGACTCATGAACAACTTTTCCAGAGATTTCATGGCTCTCCAATCCCAGGTAAAATGGAGTACAGACCCTGTGGGATGATATTTAGTGTGAATGTCACCCTGCATACAATGTGCATTTGGGATATGGACTTTCCAGCCCTGTGCTGTGTTAAACCATATGTTAATGTTTTCATACTCAGAAAAGATTAGATTGGGGACCAATAAAGTTTCAAAACTACAAATAATAGGCTAACCGTAATGAAACGTGAGGTATTCCTAAGCCTAAGTGTTATTTTTTTCCTCACAAAGTCTCTGCAGTTTTCATTTTATAAATGGCAAAACTGTATTTTGCTACTGAAAACTGGCATATTCATATTTTATAAGTTAATACACTTAAATTTTGTATTAGAGAGTAAACATCGCTATTAATTTGAAATTCGTGGCATCTGATCTGGAAAAGAAGCAAAACACCACTTTGTGATTTTCTATTTGTCAAGTAATCCCCTGTCAGTGTGCAGTGAGCTGGAAGGAGTCTCACCCCAAAATAGGAGAAAAATGTTTTAAAAATGCCTTTTTTCTTTTTTTTCTTTTTTTTTTCTTTTTTTTTTGCTTTTTTTTTTTTTTTTTTCCTTTTTTGTGAAGGCAGCAGCTCCTGCAGAGAGTCAGAAGCCACCATTTGCTTTTTGGAAGCAGAAGGAAATTTTCTGTCTACATTAAGTAGGGAAGGATCAGGTCATTCATGAGGGCAACTGCATTAAAGAGAGAATGATGTATTTAAAACTCTCTAAAATGCTCTGGGAAATGTTTTTACACAGGGTGTTGGGTCTTGGCAGTGCTTTCCCCGTCTGGACCTAGGCACCCGGGCAGTAAATTGCCCTGTGCTCAGCGGGCAGCTTGCTTTGCTTGGAGGTACACATCCCAGCACCTTGTGCAGGTGGAATAAAAAGCTCCCTGAGCATGTCGAGCAAAGAACGGGCTGAACGGCAGTGGAAAAAAAAAAAAAAAAAAAAAAAGGAAAAAATATCTGCCGAGAATATTGTCTTGGCAGGTTCTTTTCTCAAAACTGCGCTGCTCTGTAAGTTTGCTTCATTATCTCTTTTGTGGCCGCTCCGTTGTCTTCATTATAATTTAAAAAGAGGGAGAAAAGGAGGCACCTTTAGTAGCGAAGTCGTAACGTTTTGACAGTAAGCTGTGTCATTGCTCCAACCGTCTCCCGCGCTCCCAATCGGCGGTGTTATGTAAGGTGGCAGGTTAATAAATGCGACACACTGAAATCATTTGTACCAGATTATCTCTCCTTCCAAACTCTGACAGATGCTAAGTCCAGCTGGTAAAAAAAGTTTATAGGCGAGTTGGATCTGGGGCCTTCGCACACTCCACAATGTTGGCTACCAATGCTTGTTTTAATGAGTCACGAATTGCCTGTTTATCTTCTGCTCCCTGCTGTTTCTGCATTTTCTCTTCCAGAACAATCCTAGAAACACATGCTGCTACAGACGCTGGAGCAATGTGTGTAGACATTTGAGCCAAATTATTATAAAGAACTCTTTCTTCTCTGATATTAAAAAAAAAAAAAGGCGAGAATTGCACATTGCCTAGCAAATCGTTATCTCAGATGTTCGCTGTGACACGCTCAATATGGCCTACCAGAGAAAGTTGGAGACATTTGAAACCTTAACAACTACACAAAATGACACTGTAATTGGCGGGTTTTGTTGTTCATGTTCTGGCTCTGCTAAAACTGCTCTAAACACTTTGTTTAACGATGTTACATTATGACAACACATGGCTTCTGTGGAGCAAGTCGTCGCATCGAACATGCGACCGCACGGGAGGAGGAGTGCGCGGCCTGCAGCGCCCTGGAGCACCAAGGGCCTTCATCACCCTCCTCCCCTTCCTCCCCCCGCTCACAGCCATGTTTCTTGCAGGGTCTGGCAGGGCTGGGGAGTGCGAGGCCCTGGTGTGGAGGCAGGGGACCCTGCAGACGTGTGGCAGACCCAGGCAGCACCTGGAGAGTTGAGGGGCTGCTCGTGGGACGTGAGGAAAAGCAGTGTGGCCTTTCTCAGCTGTGGCCGAAATGAGAAGGGCCGGGGGACAAGCACCAAGTCAGAGGAACCTCTTGAACCCCCAGTTCTCCTGGGAGACATGACCTTCAAAGACCTGATCTGGACTGGTATCTTTGCAGACCTCAGAAAGCCTCAGAAACTTTCGAAGCAGCAGGACAGTGCATCTCCGCGGTGGCATGGGAGATGTCCCCTGGCTGCACCCACTGCCTGCAGTGGGGCTCTGCATGGGGCAGCAGCTCCCATATTTGCAGGTTTCCCAAGGTTTCTTTGTGCGGCAGCTGCCTGGCTGAATGCCCTCCCTGGCGTCCTCAGAAAGAAAGCAGTGAGGAACCTGTTTTTGATAGCGTGCCTGGTTATTAATAGAATGTTTCAGATTTGTCTATTCTTTGCACATGGGAAACTGTATGGTCATTTGGCAGATGTTGAAACTCACTGATTTTATATCCAGCAGCTTGGAAAAACAATGGATGTCATACTCTGTTTAACAAAATATATGCTAGGCAGAGTCCATCTTCTGTGCTAGCAGAGTGAATCTTACTCCTACCAATCACTCACTGTCATGAAGCTGGAGGAACCACCGCAACTCCTTAAGATTATTTGTTTTCAGTTCTAGCTCTCCCTTTACACAGTGCTCTCCCCCATGTGCAAGATGCAGTTATTTAGAATGCTGCCTCATGTCTGCGTTCCCTTTTCATTTAGCTGGTTTAACAATATGCTAATGACAGGAAGAAAACATACATATAAAATATTGTAAGCATCAAGACTTGGAAGGAGAAGGTAAATTTGGCTCCCAACCATGAAATCTTATTCTGCAGTTGCCTCCTTAATGGCATCTCTTGAGGTCAGTGGCTTTGAATTCTCCCGATTGTATAGGGTCACTCTGGCAGCATTGACCAAGTAGAAAAGATTCAGCCAGGGGAAACAATGGCAGAAGTCACCCTTTAAATGTCCTGCCTTCTACATCAGGCAATTGATTCCAAGGCTCCCCACTACGATGTCACTGTTTGACCAGTTTGCTTTAAAACAGCTTAATTAGCTGAAAGGAAAGCTATGTCTGAGCATGTTTGTGAGAAAAAAACAAAAAGCGCTCTCCTTTCAGAAAGCTCATGCTCTGTCTTGTCGGAAATCTCTGGTTCTGAAACGAAACAACATTCCTTTCATACGGAATTAAGTCCCTGACAACAAATTTTCCTGGATTGGGGCAAGAAGGGCTTGTACAGCGCGGAGGTGTGGGCAGTGCTGGCTGTGCTGGCAGGTCTGGGGGTGCCACAGGAGGAGATGGGAGCTGTATGCAGGCTCTTTTCCTGGTCGGAGAGGCTGCCAGCACCAACTTGCTCAGTGCTGTGGTGACACTGGAGTACTGACGTCCAGCTCTTCAGCCAGGCAGCAGTCTGGTTTTGCACAGACAGGAAGCAGAAGTGGAGGCCCTGAAGTGCTGATGCCCAAGTTTTCCTACAGAGGTGTGGGTTTACCCAAACCTGGTGCACAAGGCAAACCTTGAAAGCAGCGGGCAGAGAGCCTGTAGGAATTGCAGGCGATACACCTGATGTCAGCTGGGAGGAAGCAGCAACTGGAGCTGCCAGTCTCGCCTGCTGCAGGCTGAACCACAGAAAGCAGTGCCTGGGGTGAGACCTGACTCTCCTTCCTTGGTTTGTAAGTCAAAACACACAGAGGGTCATGTTGTACTGTCTTCATTCTTCCCATTTGCTCTCTAAGCTGCTGGTTGTATGTCTGCAGTGAGATGAGAAAACACTATTTGGTCTGCTACATATTCTTTGCAGCAACCAAACATCTCCTAATGAAATATATATATATATATATATTTAGGGTCTTTGCTCTGTGATGGTCACTGCAACTTGTCAGTGTTACCAGGATGTCACTGCAAGAGCTGCCACCCCGTCTTAAAGAGAGAGGGAGGTTTGGATAGTTTGCCCAGGGCCTTAGGAGGAATTGGTTTTGGAGTCAGATTTGCTATGCAAAAAATAAATGCAGATTTTCTGTTCAGTCTAGCAAGCCATGGTACTTTCCCAGGCCTTTCTGCGTGGGTATTTGCACAGTGTGTACAGGGCTAGTACTGATGTAAAATATATGAATACAGCATCAGAAGTGCATGGGAGTGAGAAATGCAGGAAACCAGAACAAATCACAGAAAGAACCATTTAAACAGAAAATAAGATTCTGTTAACATGTTCCCTGAACTACCTACATGTGGCGATTTTATGCTTATGTATAGCCTCAGTGAAATTATGTGCTAAATGTATTTATAAAAGGGAGTAAAACTTTACAGAATCAAGGTCTTAGTATATTTTGCAACATTTCTACAGCTTCTCATTCCTGTCATTCATTTTTCTGGGCATTTATGAGAAATTTCAGTAGATGACAGTTTGTTTGCTCACGTCCAGAATAGAGAAAATATTTTTAAAACATTTCACTTTCACTTCATAAAGGATTCTGGCTCACATATGAAAATAAGGATATGTCTCGGTGCTGAATTAAAAGCTTTAGTTAAAATATTTCTTTGTAAATATTTTCTTTTTCCAAAAACCCCCACACAATCATGTGCTTCTATTTGAAACAACATTCTGCTTAAGACAAGCTGTTTACCAGTGGTTTTTCCCTTCTCAGCTTTACAGAAAGGTGAAGGGAAGGATGATTAAACCAGAAACAAAGTCAGTAATTAGCAGTATAAATCTCTCCGTGATTTCAGTAGGTCACGAAATTAACTGGTACAGACTTCGGACACATCTGCTCTTTTGGCAACTCGTGCCCTCGGCGAGGCTGCTCATTGGCTCGCCCTAACCATGCGATGGGTCTCCAGGAGCTGATTTGTGCTCCCCGAGCTAAGTGCAGCGCAGTGACGAAGCCCGACCATTTCGAAAATGCTGAAGCACGTACCAGGGGCTGAACCTTCCCGGCAACTGCAGCGCAGCCTCACATGTTCCCGAAGAGCTCTGTGGACCCCTGAGTGGAGGGGGGCGCGGGGGGTTGCTGCATGTGGCTGAATGCTGCTTTGCAAGGCTCAGACTCAGGAAAATGCCAGGGGGTTCAGGTATGAGGTACCTGGCTGCCGCACCGCAGGCTGCTATAGCACGAAGGGGGCTGTGCCCACCGGCACCAGAGTTACTGCTTAATTTTTGTCTTGGCTACAGCCCCACTCTCCTGGCAGCAGAGGAGCAAGAGGCTTAATGTGCCAGGAACAGGGAAGCGGGGTGGAAGGGAGGAAACCAAGAGTACTGCTTCCTTTAATGCTCAAAATACCGTCTTTTTTTTTTTTTTTTCTTGGTTTTGTTTTGCTTTGTATTTTCAAAGGAAAATGTAGCAAAGCAATGAAGGGTGGTGCTGCATCAATTCTGCTGCTGGCTGCTGTGTCAAGCCAGAAGCTGGAGGTCAAGTGCCTGCTGCAAATCCAGCTCTGATCTGCTGGTCTGCCCTAAGCCTTTTGCCTCTGTGCCTGTTGTCAGTCAGGTAAAAACATCAATCAAAGCTGTCAATCTGATATGTACTTACTTTTCTCATGATACAGTTATGGATGTAACTAATAGGTTCTGAATTGAGACATCAGCCTGCTTCAGAAGATAAAAACTATATGCTGATCTTCCAAGGGTTTGCACTTGGGACCCTGTTTCCTTTTTGACCATTTCATTATTATTTAGCAGCTCAACTCAGCTGTGTGGTGGTGGCCAAAGCAGCAGTGCTATCCAAAAACATCTATCCAAGTAGGGGTGGCATGTTATGCTCTGTGTGGGTTGGCTCATAATTCATACAGCAAACTCAGCTGGAAACTGTGACAACCCCCGTTTAACGTAGAAATCTCAAAGATTCAATTACAGAATTTGTGCCTGTAATTCCAAATGCACACACTTGGTATGCCCAAACCCTAGGCTTGGGGACCCCAGGGAGCACAGTGTAGCAGTAAGTGGGCTCTCTGAAACCCAGTAACATTTCCTCCCTTTCCAGTTTCATCGCAAACCTCTAACATCCCCAGGCTGTCAGTACAAAGGCAGCCTGTGGGACCAGCGCGGGGCCATCAGCTTTTGCTCAAAGCAAAGCATGCCTGTGCTCCTGGGGACTGCATGGGGGGGACTGTGGAGCACTCGCTAACAGCAGCGTGATGCCTAGCTGTGCTCTGCACAGGGAAGCCTGCAGAGCCATTGAGGCATCAACTCTCTTCTATTCAAGAAAGAAAAGAAAAAGAGAAGATAGTCAAAAAGATCTGTTCTTTCTGAAAGCTCTCCTCATATTTTACCGTTTCATTTGAGCTTTCTGCCTTCCTTTCTTTTTCTCTTTCTTTCTCTCCCCATGCACAATTTAAACACAAGAAAAGAGGGGAGCTGCAACGTTGCAGTATCCCACTATCATTTTTTCGATTGTCTTTGATATGCTTTATAGTCTGGTCCATAAAAACTGATAGCATTAGGGAACATGACGTTAGTTTAGTGTACCTGTACCCCAGCATCTCTGTTATAGGAAGAATGTTTGCTGTTTGGCTTTAAAAAAGAAGAGCTTGACTGTAAGCATATTTAAAACATGTATTTTTGACACTGTTCTTACAAGCTTTTTGCATTCAGTATGTAGTTTCCTGGCATGAGGATTCCCCTACATATTACAGCCAAAGGTGAGGAGATTATTATCCTGGGTGAAATATACTGTTCTACAGCAGGCAAACCATGCTTACAAATCTGCTTTTTGCATTTCCAAGTTTATTTTTTTCATGCTATTCATATTGCTCTTTGAACTGTATCAACAGTAGTTGGCGATAACATTTTGGTTCCTGGTTAGCATTTTACTCCACAGTCTCTTATTGACTTCAGTGGGATGAGACACTGGGTAATACACCTCACACCATGAGAAAGATAACAAAGTGTGAACATTTGGTCACCAGGTTCCTCATTTTTGCATCGGTTGTGGTTGTTACCACACCAGTGGTAACATTTGGCTGATCTGGGTGAATTTTATTGAATTTCAGCTTCCCATGGCACGCAGTAGCCCAGCCACAGTGAGCTGGGAGGATTGGCAAGCAGGAGCAGAGGAGAGCTTTCACCAGCACTGTGGTGAGGAGGCACAAATGCCATACCTTGGTGGGAGGTGCAATGGCTTAGACATATGTTTGTGGGTTGTGTTACGCCATGCAGCACCACTGCCTTCAACCCACTGACTCAGCAGTAGCCAGCTAGCTGGAAAATCATCCATTTCCCTTTTATGGCCCTATAACACTGTTAGAGCTCCTCCAAGGGCCTTAAAACAATACGAAAGTCCCAGGAAATCATATTTCGCTGACAAGCTATACTGCTGTACTCTCTTGGTCTTGCCAGCAGGTCTCATAAATGGCTCACCTAGCTAAAGAGAGCCCCTGAAAGCGCACAGTTTGAGAGATTTGGGCTTTAAACCCCATCTTGCTGTGCCTGTGGGACATTGTTAGCCCTGCTGCAGCTTGTTTGGAGAAGAAGTGGGAGCTGGTGTGTGTTCTCAGGGCACCTTGTGGCCCCCCAGACCCTGAGGGCCCACGAGGTCCCCTCTGCCCATTCCCCCCTTGGCTGCCAGGACCAGGACTTGAAGATGGTGGTGGCCCCTCAGTGCCCCATGGGGCTCAGCCCACAGGGAGCTGCCTCCCTTTCTCTTGCACCGCAGCCTTTGTGCGAGTGTCAGCCGAGCATCCCTCTCATCTCCCAGATTGATGGCACCGTCTAGGACTTGCAGCACAGACAAGATAAACTAAAGGCTTCTGCAGACAGGTATGTAACTGTGGAGACAGCAACGCCGCAGAAGAGGCCGCCGATCAGCCAAGTGTTTGTCCCACAGTCAACTCTCCGGCACAGCGGTCACCTTTGACATGACTGGCTGAATAGGAGTTTGTTTTCTAATTTCCATGGTTCAGCCGTAGGCCACGCAAAGTAAATACAAGTAAACGGGCAACAGTGGGTTCAAAGGAACATAAGACAAGTATTTGCCCCCTCGGAAGACAGTTTGGGTAGTGTTCACATGTGAATCAATCTGTTTTGGGTCTTTGAAGTGGGTTTGATTAAGAAGAGTGGGGCAGAGTACGAAACTGATGGGGCCAACAAAGGATTGCCCATCTTTTGGGGCACGCTCCAGAGGCAGTGTGAGCTGCCAGTGGTGCTGTGGCACAGAGGTGAACTCTTGAGCAATTTGATCAAGGAGGGATATTTTCTCAGAAGTGACAACCTGCTCTTTGCCAGGCTGCAGTGTTTTGGAAGAGCCCTAGGACAGTGAGCGTAAACAAGGAGCTTTGGTGAGTGGGCAGATGTGTGTGCCCCAGGAGAGGAAAGGGAACAACACAGCCAAAATCCTCATGCACCACCTTCCAGAGCACGAGGTGGTGGAACAACACCCACCACGGTGCTGTAGAGGCCAGGCACCAGGGCTGTTTTTCTTGGTTTGCTCATCATTGTTTTGGTTTTAAGTGTTATATTTAATTGTCCTTGAATTCAAAGGAAGTGAAATATCAAGTACCGCTATTAATGTTCCTTTAAGTATTACAGAAATACCACCCTGCACATCGTATCAAAATGTTGCCTGGATAGGAAGCGTGTCTTGTGGAGTCTCTAACTTTCCCAGACATCTTCATGCTTTTACCATTGCACATGATTTTCCTTCTGATAATGTACAGCATATCCCCTCCAGGGAAAAAATCTATTATTTTTTACTATTTGTGATCTGATTGACTTGGTCACTGTCACTCTTCTCCTGAAATTAGGTGTGTGCCTACCCTTTGCACAAGTAAAGGTTGTGTCAACATGTGAAACATTTTTGGGACAAGACAAAAATTTGGATCCTAGGCATGGCTGGTGGTCAATGGTCATTCCATAAAGGATTTCACAGAGCAACAGGTAAGAGGACTTGAACAGATGCAATTAAGGTAATTCCTACATTGTTTATCTATATTAATGCTTTATCTCCTGTGCTTACTAGCAATAAAAGCTAAGTAGAGACTGCATGTCCTTACAGATTTTAAAAGGGTTTTAGTACCTTTTAGGATAAAAGCAATCACCTAAACAAAGTAAGTCTTTACTTTAAATTAGATGGATTATTCTGAAAAGTTGCAGGTCAGAAAAGTCTCCAGAGCTGTTCATCATTATACCTTATAGACTCATAATGAAAAGCAAAGGCTGGTCAGGGAGAGGATGTGCTATTTTTGCAGGTAATCACAGGTGCAGGTAATTTCATAGCAGAGCTCCTGAAATCATGCTGAGGACACCCTGGTGTGGCCATTCATTTATTCATTCATGGGAGTGGTAGCTCCACTCCCATCCTGTAACTCTGATAACAAGGCAGAACCTAAGAGCCGTTTCTGAGAAGAGGGGAAGGCACCTGTTTGGTACCTTGGCCATTAAAGATGAACATAAAGCCAGGGATGACTGCACTAAAACCCAGTTGCCACCTGAAACTGGCAGTGCCAGCCTGAGCCTGAAGGGATGGGGCAGGAGCTGGCAGAGTCACATCCTCACAGCCAGTGGGACAAGCACCCTGGTCTCTCCACATATGAGCCAGATCTTCACCATATGAGCAAAAAAACAGGGAGGGGTAAGCCAAAGAGAGAGAGGGAAGCACACACAACTGCCTGAGGCTCCTCTTTCTTTTATCCTGCAGCACAATAAGAGGGAGTGTGGACTAACATACAGAGAAAGGCAGTAGCAACCAGAGGAAAAAAGACAAGCAGGAGCAAACCAAACTTCCTTGTGTTGCCTCCTCAGTAGCCAGGGCACAGATGTGCTCCGTCTGCTGTCTTGTCCTTTGTTAACTCCACTTCCCATCCCTTTGAACCTCATTAACTGGTGCAGAAAAGAGAGCACTGGTTATTACCCCAAGTGATAATCCAATTACTTGGGATAATAAAGTGCCTCTGTCTTCATACAACAGAGCCCAGAGCAACTACTGTTGGTAGGAAGAGGAGTGAAAAACTTGCAAAACCATTCACAAGATTTTTTTTTCATCCTCCCTACCCAGGGGTTCAGTTGCCATCCAGCCCTAACCATTGCTCCCAGTGCCCTGCCCAGACATATTCGGATCAGATGTTATAAACTCCTTCCTCATCCTCCTTCTTCTCTGCTGGTTATTAGGGAACTTTAATTCTGTAATTCCCAGAAGCAAATGCTTGAGGATTTCAGTCATCATGGTTGATCAATACCAACAAAATACCCCTCAATGAATAAATTTTTTTAGCAATTTTAAGAAATGTTCTTGAGGAGGTCATGATTTATGTGAACGTGTGTTGAGGTCAAATTCTTAAGTGACTTTTTTTCCTCTTCCACAAATCTATCACAAACAATTGGCCTTCACCAATATTCCCCCTGAGTTGCAAACCGTGGCCAGAGATAGCACCTTGTCTGAGTGGCAGTGTTGGTCCTTCACTAGGAGAAAATGCAGGACTAAGGACTGTGGGTTTGAATCTCATATAGGAAAACAGAATTTGAAGGGAAATTACAAGACATGTACAAATTTAAAAAATATAACTCCTCTGTCTGTGCCACTCCACTATTTACAAACAAGGTGCCCTAAACTCTGATTAGTGATTGTAGAAATTAAATGTTATAAATGTAATTTCTTTCCCAACATCTACAAAACCAATTTTAATTCTTTAACTTCTTTTGCAAATACTTTTAAAAATCTTTGAATTGTTTTTAATTTCTTTAATTTAAACAGTGAGAGATCTTGTTACATGGCTATTATCACTACCTCTATTCACAGGCAGTATAATTCCCATTCCACTATGCCCCTTGGAAAATCCTTGTCTCTTTTGGCAAATACAAGCAGTGATCTGCTGCTGAATGAGACACTATTTCACCTGCTTGTGTTCTGACATCAAACCTTGAGAACTGCTTTCTGAAAGAAAACAACAACAACAACAACTATTTTTCATGTTTCTGGACAAAAAGTCAAATGAGGATAGGAAAAAAAGGCAAAGCAAGATGATTTATACATTCCAAAATATCTTCCCAGGCACATTCCTGTGATGCACCTCCAGCAGTAAGCACATAAAAAAATCTCTGTGAAGTCCCAGACCCTCCTTTTTGAAGGAAGCCAGTTCATAATATAGAGGAACAGTTCATTTTTTTTATTTTTTTTTTTTTACTTGCTTATTTTACTTTTTACTTTCTCACAAGGAAGGATAATTTGTGCGGAAGGTGCGATCTTGGCGGAAGACGAGATTTAAGGAGTAATGGGAGGGCACAGAGGGTTCATTGTTGGGCCAGCAATCCGTCATGCAGGAGGGCTGTCATAGGAGCCCCGAGGGGCCGGCAAGGCAACACCCGAGCTACGTGGCTGAGGGGCACGCTGGCTCACCTTGGGCTGCCCAGCTCAGCTCTCCATGCTGCACCTCCCGCCGGGGGCGGCGGGGCAGGCTGACCCCCGCCCTAAATCACTGGCCAAGGGAGAGCCGCACGGAGGGCGAGAGGGCTGGCGGAGAAAGGGATGAGATTTATAACTGTACCATACCTCTCTCTTTTGAAAATTAAATGGCGTGTTAGAGAGAATAAAAGAGGGTTCACGGAAGGGGGTGAGCCCATGCGTGACCAGTTTGGGATTTGGGACGGAGTGGACGAACGGCTTCAGTCCATCAGTTGAGTTATTGTGCTGGAGGGAAGGCGCGGCACCATGAAGGGCATGCTGGGCTGTGGTGGGGCTCCGGTGCAACTCCTGTCCCAAAGCCAGAGTCAGCTACACAGCAGCGTGCCAGGGCTGCGGGGAGCCTCCTGTCCCCACGGTGCCCACAGAGGAGCACGGGCAGGGCTGGCAGCCCTGGGCAACTTCACTGAGCTCAGCTGCCTGCCGTCTGCATGGGACCAGCCTCGGGTCTCCTTGGTGTAAGGTTCTGTTCTGGAGAGAAAGCTGGTTTTATTTGTGAGGATGATGAAGGGCTTGGGATTTTCATCAGTACTGGCATTTTGGTGGGTTGTGAGGAAGCCCTTGGTTGTGACTTCCCTTGGTAAAACACTTTTGTCCCCTGGCTTCCAAAATGAAGGAGCCCAGTGGGGTCAGCAGTGCCAGGCAGGAGGACACCGCTGCACATCCCAGCACTGCCTGAAAGTCCCAGGCCACCAATAACTGGTGTAACACAGCACAGCTTCACTGTGGGCAACCCTGCAATGGGCAATTTATATCAGCTGAGGATCCAGGCTTTCGTGTCATTAAAGACATGGTAGAAAAAAATCTGCTGTGAATGAAGGAAGCTCCGACTAAAAAGTCCCAACAAGTTAGCTCTTTATTCTTTATCAGTGAAGTCTGCACACAATGAAAACACGGACAAGGGAAATTTGCACAGCATTTAACTTAGGTCAAAAAAACAAGTAATTTGTTAAGTGGCAAGGGCACCAACACGTGCCATGTCACGCTGGATTTTCTTTAAAAATAAAAAAAATAACAAAGTTAAACTTTCAGTCAACCTGAAAATATTTGCTTTTTATGGGGGCAGTGCGGAACGAATGGGACAGCAAATCTTTCTTCGGTTGCTCGTTTACAGAGGCTGAAAAGCTCTATAGAGACAGTGGGAAAAGAAGGAAAAAGGAGGGGTTGCAGAGAGGGAGGAAGAAAGAAAGAAAGAAAGAAACAACAAAAAGAAAGAGACAGGAAAAAAAGGAAGAGAAGGGAAGAGAAGGGAAGAGAAGGGAGGGAGGGAGAAAGGGAAGGAAGGTGGGATGGAAAGAGGAAGGAAGAAAAAAACACAAGCACTGAAAGTCTTTGTTAACACAATATTATCAAAGACAGATTTTAAAAATGTACTGGGTTAAGAAACTAAACTCCTTGGACTACTTGGTAATCTCATTGCTGACTAGGGAGGTATCTCTTGCAGAAACAGAGACTGCAGAAGAAGCCTCTGGTCAGGAACACAAATGGAATAGGAAACACGAAACATCTCCAGGATCAATGCAGGAGCTGTCCAGAGCAAAGAGGGAAACCCTGGTGCTTGTGCGGTAGCACGAAAACTGCCAGGTATAAATTTAACCTCTGAAGTGCCAGGCAGATTCTCTCTGATTTTTCCAGTTTACCTGATTTGCTGACTTTTGGAAAATATTGTGAGATTCTTGGACCAAAATATAAATGAATGACCTTTGAATTCTCAGTGGCATTAAAGCCTCTTAATTGGAAACGTGTTATTTTACTGAATTCATTTAAACTCATGCAAAAAGGGGAACCATCAAAATAGATATTCTCACGTCATCCTCTAGGTTTTCCCCCCTTCAAGTACTGTTTGAGCTGTGGTATTTGAGTACACAGAGCTCAAAGTTTTCCCTTCCCCTTTCAAATACACATTCCCTGATCCTTGTCATTAATAATCTTGATTCTGTGCTTGCTTCGAATATCTTCTCCAGCTTCTCATAGTTATTTCACTCCATCCCCTTTCCTGAGAGCAGACCTATGTTCTCCCAGAAGACATTTCCATTTAATTTTTTTTTTTTGTTTCATTCTTCCCCTTACCTTTCTGAATGCAAGTTCAGACATCCAGGCAGCTTTTACTTACCTACCTACTAGAATGGAAAGCCCACTTTATCCTCATTTGCTGTCCAGACTATTTCTATTTCTAATATTTCTATTTCTATTTATCTCTCTCTATCTCTCTTTCATTTGAAATGCCTTTCATCCTACTAATTACTGCCCAGAGTGATGCCACAGAACAACACTGCGGTGCAACTTTGCAGTGCTTCCTGCTCACACTCACACACACATGCACACAGAGACACAAGCGCATTGGGAAGCAGGAATGCAGGCGAGTTTTGACCTCCGGTGTCCGCACAATGAGCCGCGGACGATGCAGAAGGTTGGCTGCTTCTATACAGACCTGCTTTTGTGCTCTTGTCCAGGGCTTGATCCTTGGAGCCCTGCGTGCTCAGTAGACGCCAGAGAGATAGATGTGATCTGTTAGCCTCATCCAGCGCCGGCAGCTGAGCCATTTTCACACAGGCAGGCAGGTATGGCAAAGCCTGGGTAACAGATGAGAACCCATGGGGAGCTCTTGACTATGGAGAATGAAAAATCAAAAGAAACCATATTGGACACAGATACAAAAGGAGTCCCCTGTTCCTTTTCTATCCCCCCTTGTTTCTTTTCTCCTCTTCCTTACCAGGCTGTAATGAATGTGGAAAACTGCTTCCCCCCTCAAAGTATGTGAGGACATATAGATTCCAGATGCTATTCTATGCAAATACTTCCACCCTTCCCTGCCCAGCAGCACTGCTAGTTAACCCTTCTGCCTATCTGTTTGCTGCCTTGTGCTTTCCACACTGCTGTAGGAAATAAATAAAAAAAAAAAAAAAAAAAGGAAGAAAAAAAAAAGAAGAAGAAGAAAAAAAAAAGAAAAACCACCTTAAAAATACCTTAACCTTTATTCTCAGAGTGCAGTGTACAGCTTAACACCCTACATATTGCATTTGGGCTCAGCACAGCTGAAGGCACAAAGCCACAGTTAACACATTTCTGGCATTGAAGTTAATTTGATGTTTTAATCACATAACATCATGGAAAAAAAAAAAAAAAAGAAGTTAATTCCTAACAGTGTTAAAAGTATGAGATTTCCCTTCTAGTCTGTTCGTAGCACGTCCAGAGTCAGAGATATTTGTCTTGGTGAAAACAGTCTGTAGATGACTTTTAGCATAAATACATGCAAATTAAAGGGAATTAAAGGAGAGTACATAAAGCACAGGAACCTTAAGGATCTGTTTCTTGGACAGCTGTGAGTCTTTTGTCTCCCACTGGCAGTTTTGTGAGCCTTGCTTCACACAAGTCATAACCCAAAATGGTTTTGCTCAGTAACTAATATAGGACCAATTGCCCCACTCCTGGTGACTTCAACTTATTCACAAACTTTCTGAAAACCATTTCCATGTCCAAGAAGAAAAGAGAGATGTAGAGGGCAACAGAAATCACTATTTAAACATATACGACTTTTTCTCAAACAGAAAAAAACAAAACAAAACAAAAAAAACTCTCCTGAGATTTTATGAAAGACTCTTCTACCAAATAAAATCGTTTTTGTGGACCTCCTATTTATAATCCCTTAGCACATGAGTGTGTCTATCTGGACGCACATACCCCAGGATCACCCTAACGACAGCAGCAGTGCAGCTCCAGGGTTTTGATCAGTGTGCACTGCAATTTGATTTAATCCCTCCCAGAATTCAAAAATGGATCACTTAGCTTTGTTGTGACAGATTGATGGTAAGATTTGAGAGAGTACCGTAAGAGGGAGAGGTCTCAGGCGTGAATACAGAAGGCTCAGACGCTCAGACATTTATAGAGAGATGGATGCATTCTCCTCAACCAAATAAATACACTTTTTGTGTGGCACTCACACACTCTGACTCCTGGCAACAGTCCTTTCTGCGTCTCGTCATGTGGGACTGAGACCCTTGCAATGCAGTTTTGTTAGTATTTCATTATTCTGTATAAGGCTTTCCTTAAGTTCCAAGGGTATATTCTGCTCTATTAAATATGTTTTATCTGATTTGCATTGGGGTCCTGCACAGAGATGACATGGAGTCTCCGTATCAATTTGTACTAGACATCACGAACACACAATGTTACTTTATAAGCCTTACTTTGATCATCCAGTACAAAAGTATGTTAAAAGTTGGGGGGTTTACCAATTAGATTGTAACATTTTCTAACAATCTTTCTAAAAGGAACTACTGAATTAAGGAAATTTACTAAGCAACCAAATGAGTCTTGTATTGAAATATTTTCCCCAGTTTCCTAAGTGGCAGGTAGAAGAAGACTAGGGATGTTCACCAATTTCTCCAAACAAGTTTACTCCATCCTGCTTCAAGAAATAGCTGAATGACAGCGTAGGTCTTATTTTTATTTATTCATTTATTTATTTTTGTTTGCATGGGCAAAAATGAGTTTTTAATGCACTGCATTTCTCCAGTTCCTTAAAGTGAAGGTCACTTAGGGAATGTGAAACTATATTAATAACTTCATAGGGCTGCAAGAGGTGGTAACTGTTGTATTTGTTCTGAGTAATGCTGTTTTCTTTCCTTAAGAACCAACTAGTAGGAATCCTCTGTAGGGTTGCAGCCTTGAAGTTGAAACTGAAGCACTGCAGATTAACTGAGAGTATCGCAAAATCACTATTTGGCTGTAGGTGTATGTGTAACACCTTTTGATCTGTACTGTAGAACAACTTACTCCAAACACAGTATTTCACTGATTTTGCTGATTTACAGCTTCTGCTAACCTGATGCCTGCTCCAAAGCCCATAGGAACCCTGTCTTTCTACTGACCACAGCAAAATGTACTGCGTAAAAATAATCTCCTTTCCCTGAGACACCCATTCTCTGTGGTCTTTATTTCTGTGGTGATGTAGCAGACTCCAGTCTTACTCATCTTCTTGACCAGCAAACAAAAGCATGAAAGCAGCAGAGATGTCACAATGCTATGTTTTTTCTTCTGTCCATTTGAATGCCTCTTCTCAGTGGCAGGGCTGTGCTAGTCTTGTTTTACTTTTTGCTCTGCTAGACACAAAGAGTGTTACAGAAGTGAAGACCAGCAGGAGTATTGTTTCTGACTGGAATTTGGATGTGAGCTATGAAAGAGGTGACAGTTCTTCCATAACTCCTCAAAAAAAAAACACAACCTTTTCCACACTTAATGAAAGCAAAACAGAACCTCTGTCATCACAAGTGCAACCAGAAAAAAACATTAGGGTTAAATAGTCATGTTTGACTAGGAAATGGGGAAGAGTCACCTGAAGGGTCTCCCGATGTTTCTCTTCTCCCTATAGATCTTTCTTGTTTTGCTTTTATGCTTAAAAAATAATAATAATAATAATAATTGGGGATAGGTTGTTGTATGTGTGACTTTGCATGTGCTTGTACATGTCAGTTTGCTAGCACTTAAATTTCCTCTAGAAACCATGTTTCTCTCAACACAGAGGAGTTGTTTCTCCCTGGGCTACGAGTACCTTTTTCTCATCACTTCAAATGTTTCAGCGAGAGCTCATCGTGCTCCCCAGGAATCTCAGCTCAGGCTCATGTATCTCAAAACAGCCTCCACATGCTACCCACACCTCCTGTGGTGTCCAGGCTGCCTACTATGGAATATCTGAGCCTTTCCAGGATGCAACTCATTTCTTTTCAGAGACGCTCTGCTGCTTTCTTTCTGATGTGATTTAGCATTTAGTTTATGATGCTTCTTGAAGTTCTGGAAATAACCTCAATGCAGAAAGAGCACAGCCTTTACTGACTGCCTTGAGTACCCAAACTGGTGGGAAAACTGTCTTTCCAACAGAGTTAACACAGCAAAGTCTTTCCTGGGTATGCTGTTTTCTCGTGACAAAAATGAGTAATCTCAGAGACTATGAGTTTGATGTAAGTAATGGAGACACCTCACCATTAAAAAAAAAGTATAAATGACCAGACATGGTTGATAAACAGAGGGATTCCCAATTTCTGTGGCATGCTTATAAGAATTTTTCTATTCTCTTTATGGGCGATACAGAAAAAAAAATGGAGCTTTTCCAAAGTGTAAGAGTAGGGGACCCCAGACTGGGAGTGCACAGATATTCAACATGCCTACAGGGCAATGTGTTCCATTGGAATGAAATCCACTACAACACAAAGTAGTAAGTGTGAGAAGCCTCATTTGAAACCTAACTCCTTATGGAACAACTTTGTTGAAGCCTACTCACAGACAATTTCAGGTTTTATATGATGGCAATTCACAACTACAAAAATGGTCCAGCACATATCATCATTTGAATGTGTCAACACCATAAAAGATAATGGAGAGCTCCTTGATCTAATATAGTCAGACTTTCCATATGGCCTGGCATAAAATGTTATGAAAGAATTGGAGAATTAGGAATGAAAAATATTGCTGAGAGGCAGGAAACAAAGAACAAATGGCATTTTGTCATTGTGACACAAGCTAATGATGGTCTCTCACGAGGTTACACATTATGTTTCATGTTGTAAAGCTAGCTGGAGAAATACTGGTGCTGGGACTAAACAGCTCCTCACAAACTAAAATGTCTCACAAAATCTGATCAATTCAATTTGGAAAAAATCTGGAGAAAGAAAAGTTCTGGCAATGTTTCATTTGAATGATTGGGAAATAAAATATTCACCTTCCATTTGACTAAATTTTCTTCTTCAAAAGAAATCAAATCCTATATTGTGCTGTATTATGCCTTATAACTAGGAAAAAAAATGTAAATTGGTCATATTTGTGTGGATAAAATATTTCAGACAAATCTGATAAATCCAGTAATATTCCTTTGTTGATAATTCCAAACTAAAGACCTGTGCAAGACAACACAATGCACATTGGCAAAAGAACTTTGGTGATAGTATTCAAAAAGTTTATGAAACAAAAAAAATATATATATATATTAGAGGAAAAATATCAAAGAAGTTGTGAGGATGGCTACCAATGGAAAGCGTACCAAAAGGAAGAGGAGATTGCTGACTTCATTGGATGCCAACTTGTTGCCTGTTCCCCAGGGCTGGCTGGGCAGTGCTGCTGCTCTGCTTCCCGTCCCACATGACTTGGCTGCTGTGGTCCCTGAAACATGGTCACAGGCCCACCCTGTGCTGCCAACCTGGTAGCCCTGATGATGAGTGCTAAGGGCTCTCCAAAATGAAAAAAAAAAAAGCACTGTTAGAATTAAAATGGGAAATTAGTTACTGACATATTTTTACTATCAACTGCTTGCATCTCTCTCTCCCTTTCCTGACTATAATTTCTCTGCAGAATCATCTGGTTATGCACTGTCGTATCAACATCTACAAACAAAAGAAAGGAAATCTTCTTCTTCATGACTGGGTGACTAAAAGAGCTGAAACTCCAGGTTAAATTCACCTGCTGAGTAAATTCCCTTTATAATCTGCAAAATAACAGCAACAAAAAGGTCAAAATGGGGGGCAGTGTAATTACAGACTTGGGAGTAATTACAAATAACAAAAAAAAAAAAAAAATTAAATGTTCCATTTAGGAAGCTTGAGCTCTCCCCTTGGGGTTTATCTTCAAAGTGTTTAGGAATGGTTCTGATTTAATGTCCAGTGAGAGGTTCATCTGTTACTGTTTCATTGTCACATATACAGTCAGTTCTTTCATCATTCCAGTTACAGCCCGAACTGCATAAGCAACTGAAGTGCACTTTAAGATGCATATAAGCTCCATGTAACATTTCTCTGATTTTCCATATTATGTCTCTTGTTCATAGCAAATTTGGGTCTCATGCACGTGGGTCTGCCTGTCCCACCAGGGGAGGGGTTGGATGCAACCATGGGCAATGGCTGTTCCCAGCTCTGCACAGCACAGATAGAAGCCTGTGTCCCGGGTGATGCAACGAGGAACACAGTTTGTGTGATCTCATCTATCCGCCAAGCAAGGTCATTTAATTTCACTCAGATCCCAGACATTGCTGTTATT